GTGAGAGAGAGTGTGAGCGCGTGCGCGTGTGCATGTGCGTGCGGTGGAGCAGGGACCTTACACTTCCCCACAGCCAGTCACAGTCCACTTTATCACAGCCAGCATTCAGCACCGGGGGTGTGGACGGGGGAAAAGAGGGGGAGAGGTGGGGTAGTGGTGCAGAGAAAGGGGTAAGGGCAGGAACACAGCAGATACAACATAGAAAAATGTTACTTTTTATACCTGAATCCCCAGAACATGGCCACGAGGCACATCAATACAAAATGTTAGGCTTATGAGCTCCACACTTGAAGAAAAGAGCTGTTTAAGACAATGTATCATTTGACAAGATCGAGTTGCAAGAGCACAATAACCTCACGTACTTTTCACGTCATGAGCAGGGTCAGTGTGCCGATAGATGTATCCTTCCAGGTACGACTGGAACTTGGGCGATGGAGAAAAGAAAGCCAAGCAGACCGCCATGAGCTCCCAGCCGTACGCCAGGCTCTGGTAGCACAGATTGTCTGTGGTCTGCCTGCACAGCTGGATGTAAAGCTCATCACGGATCCCCTGCGTCGTCCAGCACTTGGTGACAATCACGAGGGCGATGGGGACCCTCTCCATTCGGGTTTGCCGGTCGCCCATGTACATCTGCACCAGCTTGAAGAGTTCACAGGCGTCTTTCTTGATGGTGCGGTCGTTGGTGACCAGCATTGGCTTCTTGATGGAGCCTCCGACCCAGGAGAGCATGTTGGCGATGGACAACCTGCGCCTGAAGATGCCCCGAGTGTGCATGTTGAGGTGTTTGGCTGCCCAGTCTTCCATGCTCTTCTCTGGCAGGGGCTTGCGGAGTGTGGTGTAAGGAAAATGGTAGCCCACGTTGCAGGTCTGCCCTCCTGGGTCAAGCTGAGGGCTGCTGCCTATGTTCTGAGGCTGAGGAAAGAAAAACAAATGTAAGATTGTGTTTTTGTCAACAACCGGGAATCAGCTGGGTTTAGATCCAGTTGCACGCATTGACCACGTCACCCAAAACTCCCGAGGTTTAATTATCCGAGCTTGAATGATTTCATCACTGGTTACTATCGATTGGTGTTGGGAATATCGGAGTATACCATTCAGCCCATTTCAACCTGCTCCACCACTCAGCCAGATTACAACCGATTCAACCACCTTGTCATCGAAACCCTTTCAACCAAACATCATTCTGAACTTTGAAAGACCTGACTGGTGCGCAACATCCATAGATTTTAGGAGCAGAGAATTCCAGATTTCTACCAGCGTGTGTATGTATAAATGGGAGCACATACATGTGTGAATATATATGGACATAAATGTTCATGTATGTCTGTGTGCGTGTATATATCCATGCATGCGTGCATATTGGTGTACATGTGTACATATCTGTATATGCGTGTGTCTGTGTGCACACGCGCATGTATGCGTCTGTCTGTGTACTCATGTCTGTAAATTTGGGGATGGTGGGTGAGTTACATTTTCCTATTTTCTTCCCTAAATAGTCAAACATAAACTATGTCCCCTCTATTTTCATTCACTGCTGAAAATACAGAACTGCCATTGAAGTTTTGCCTCTTGTGCTCAAGGTGTAAATGCAGGAATTTTTTTGTCCCCACAGCAGTCTGGTATCCTTGTGTTTGTCCCCACCAGTGCAAGATGAAAAGTTTCAGCAAAATGTCTCTCTTTTCATCAATATTCAAATTCTGTCATTGCAAACAGCTTTCCCTCCCCACCAGAGTTAACAGTTTCTCTATATTTAAACCTCCTGAAGTTTTTTAACCACAGGCAGGGGCAGCGTTATCTGAACAAACAGGTCTCAGAAAGGAAAAGGTGGTCAGCTTTCCGGGGAAGTTCAGCGAACTTACTCAATACAGAGCTGACCCTCACAGACCAGGAAAGTCTTGGTTTTAATTCCCATTTTACACTGTTAATTGAACGATGTTGGTAAGGACTTTCTAATTCATCCTCAAAGCTAGGGAGGGTAACAGTGATCAGGGTTCCCACTGCTTTTCTTTTGTGGATGTTTATGTGTGAATATCAGACATGGACAGCATCGGGCCAGACTGGTATAATAGAATCACGGAATCCTACAGTGCAGATCAAGTCCATTCAGCTCATTGAGTCTGCACTGATCCTCCAAACAGCATCCCACCCAGGCATAGACCCCACACTATCCCTGTAACCCGACATTTGCAATGACTAGCCCGCCTAACCTGCACATCTTTGGATGGAAACCCACGCAGACACGGGGAGAACATGCAAACTCCGCACAGATAGTCACCCAAGAATGGAATCGAGCCCGGTCCCTAGTGCTGTGAGGCAGCAGTGCTAACCACTGAACCACCGTACCATGCGTTCCCCCAATTAAATCATCCGTCAAAATAATGAAACCATCAGTCATAGTCCCTTGGGTGAGGTTCCGCTGTGTCTCCAGTATTTGTGGAAATTGACCCACTCTTGGATTTTGTTTTCTATAGAAGTGACTACTTCTAAAGTATTTCATTGGCTGTAAGGTGTTTGGGACATCTCGTGATCATGAAGGGCACTACATCAATGCAAGTCTCTCTTCAGTAAAGGTGATGGGGAATGAAAACTGGACAGGGAAGAAAATAACTGCACGATCAACAATCTTGATCACTCCCAATGTTAAACACGAGCGAAAGAAATAACTCATTCATTCTGAAAATGGCACCGCGTGGGGACATTAAAATAGAAAGGCCTACACTTATATGGAGCCTTTCACAAGCTCTGGACATCCAAAAGAGCTTTGTGATCAATGAACTACAGTCATGTTGCAAAGTAGGAAACATGGCAGCCAATGTTTGTGCACCAAGCTCACACAAACAGCAACACGATATTGACCAGATTATCTGTCTTTTTTTTAGTGAGAGATAAACACTGGCCAGGATACCAAGAAAAAAGTCCCTGGTTCTCATTACAGAGTCACAGAGCCATCCAGCATGGAAACAGACCTTTCAGTCCAACTTATCCATGCTGGTCATGTTTTCTAAACTAAACTAGTCCCAATTGTCTGCATTTGGCCCCTAACCCTCTAAACCTTTCCTATTTATAGAGTGCTATCATCAGATCCATCATGTCCACCTGAGAGAAATCTCAGCATTAAGTCTACATCCCTGGTTTAGGATAAAGAAGGCACTGAGTCTAATCCCTTTCCCCTGCTCACTCTGTATCCTTAGCTATTCTGAAAGCAGTAGCCTTTAAAGGGACATTTCGGGCTCTGACAGAGAACTGCACACTCTTAGCCACCCACAGTGCAAGGACTTGTCTTTCTCCCTCTAACTTCCTCTGGAAGCCTTCCTGCCATGAGTGAACTTTGTCTCTCTCAGATTCCTCTGAAGAGAAACAAAAATCAGTGACTATGGTCAAAGGCATTCTAATTAACAGACCACAGACAGCGCACAGCAAAGAATTTCAAACTGCATTTGCTTTCAATCAGATTCCGTTCCCGCTGAGCTTTTCATCATGATTTTGACGTGGCTTTGCAGCGTTTATTTTTTAAGACAGTCACATTTTCTCTGGAATTTAACATTTCAGCTCATCCATTCACTGCTCCCCCTTCTAACGCTGGGTTCTTCAAGCACCTGGCCGTGCAGTGATCTATCTGGTTCGCCTGCTTTGCTAACTAGCTCACTGTGGGACATTCAGAATACTCTCACTGATAACTCATACAGCAAAATAAAACAGGCCCTTCGGTCCAACCAGTCCATTCTGACCATAATCCTAAAGTAGTCCCATCTGTGTCTGCTTGTTCCATTTCCCTCCGAACCTTTCTTATTCACGAACTTATGTCTTTTGAGTGTTGTAAATACACACCACTTCCTCTGGAAATTCATTCCACACACAAACCACTCTCTGTGTAAAAATGTTGCTCCTCATGCCTTTTTTAAAATCTTTCTCCTCTCACTTTAAAAGTATGCCCCCTAGTATTGAAATCCCCCATCATAGGGAAAAGACACCTGCCATTCACCTTATGTATACCTCTCATGTTTTCATAAACTGCTATAAAGGTCATCCCTCAATCTCCTGTTTCAGTGAAAAAGGTCCCAGCCTATCTTGATAACTCAAACTCTCCATTCCCAGCAACACCCTGGTAAATCTTTTCTGAACCCTCTCCAGTTTAATAATATCCTTATTATTTGGAAGATGCCAGTCTAGGTGGGATTGGAGGAACAAAAAGGATCTCAAAGTATAAATCACTGAAGGCTGAGGAAAAGGTTACCATGGAAAAGATAAACATAACAAGGCAACCACGTTGGCTATAACCGGTTGGGATCAACGCCACATGCTGTGACTACCTGACAGGCACATTTAGTAAAGACAGTGACCTTTACACACCATGGAACTACTGCAGCTTTTGATTCTCTGTCTGGGCTGATTGACTTAGCCTCAGTTGGAATCCTACAAGTGGTCTCCAGGTCCCTTGGTTCAAGTAAGGTGGGGGATGGCGAAATTAAAAAAAAAAACCACAACAGGCAATTCTCCTGCTCTCAGCGACTCGCAATGACCCCTTCGTTGCGAGGGCAGATTTATGGGAATCAGGTGAAGACAAGATTGAACTCAGCTGCAATCAGCTCTTCAGTCAAACTGCCTGCCAAATCCCACTGCTTAGATCCTGGGTGAGAAACGGTTGCTTCCACGAGGCACTGACAGTCCTCTGGTGCTGTGAAATAGCAGAAAGTATTGGGGTGGGAGAGGCAGAAAGTACTGGGGTCTGAGCAATGCAGATTAGCCCCAGTAGATCAAGTCAAGACGTGGGATAATGTCTCAAAGATTACATAGGGGCATGGCACAGGAGCAGGCCATTTATATCACTTAGTCAGTGTTTGAGCCTTGCTGTCCTCATTTAAATCTACTGTTGTAATGTTCTGCTCCATTCTCTGTTGTACATTTCTTCCCTTAACAAAGCAATTTGGTTCAACCCCTCCCTGTGGTAGTCTCACTACTCTTTGGGTGAAGAAGTTTCTTCTGAATTTTGTATTAGATTTCTTGGTGATAACCTTGGGAGCCACATCTTCAGTTACACTCTGCCCCACAAGAGGAAACATTCTTGCTGTCAAGACAGTTCACAATTTCAAAGGCTTCTGAGGTCATCATCGCCCCCCTCCCCCAGTTTCTTTTATTCAAGAGGGAAGCGACACAGAAAAGTTCAACTTTTCTCGATAAAGATACCCTCGTATTCCCGGTATTACTCCTGCAAATTTTCTCGGTGCCCTTTCTGGTGCTTCAAAGTCCTTTCCAAAATATGGCAGTCAGCACACAGCACCCAAATGCAGGTTAACCAAGGTTCACTACAGATTTAGCACAACCTTCTTACTTTTCAATTAAAGCTCCTGAGAAATAATACATGGAGACTTGGTTTATTTTTTCCATGGTAACCTTTTCCTCAGCCTTAGGTGATTTATACTTTGAGATCACTTTGTTCCTCCATCCTGCCTAGACTGGCACTTTCCAAATAATAAGCCAGTTCCCTGTTTTCTCCACTGATATCTATACATATTCGTCTGTGTTTAAATTTCATTTCTCAACGATTTTCCTGTTCTGCAAGGGATTCATAAAACAGATGGGAAACTGGGAACCATCCAAACTCCCAATATTACACGCAGGCAATTTAAACAAAGGGACTGACAAAGTTCAGCGGGAGTATGGGGAGGCACAGTGGTTAGCACTACTGCCTCACAGATCCAGGGACCCAGGTTTGATTCTGCCTTCGGGTGACAGTCTGTGTGGAGTCTGCACATTCTCCCTGTGTCTGCGTGGGTTTTCTTCCCACAGTCTAAAGGTGTGCAGGGGGCTACGTGGATTGGCCATGCTAAATTGCTCCGTAGTGTCCAGGGATGTGTAGACTTGGAGTCAACCATGGGAAGTGCAGGGTTACAGGGATAGGGTTGGGTCTGGATGGGATACTCTTTGGAAGGTCGGTGTGGACTCAATGGGCCGCTTCTGCAGTGATTCTATGTATGAAGATTCAGAACAGTGGTGGGATCATGTAAACTATGACCAGCATTTTGGTTTTATCAAGAAAAATGTGAATAACAAAACCAGGAATGAGATGCAAGCACTCACCATTAACATTCTGAAAAAGAATTCAATGCATATCTCTTCACGCTCACCGTTTTTAGTTTTTATTTTTTTATTAAAAGCAGAGAAATAAAATCAGGAATAGTGGCGATGTGCAATGGCCCACTCTGACTCTGGGTTGCTGTGGTAACATGCACCATTTACACGCACATTGTTTTCTGATGCTGTGGATGGTGACGGTATAAACTCCAGCCTTCTGCCCATCACATGGGTGGTAAGGAATCTCTCCAGCCCTTAAAACCTGCCATTAGCATGTGTCGGAAGGATTTACAGAATGACACAGCCACTTTGGCCCATGTTACAAACGCACATTCCCTGCCCACTAAATCCTGAGATGGGACTTGAACCCAGAGCTTCGGCCTTAAGAGGTTCGGGGATGACCCTATCTACTGTGCATGGATAAGGGCATTGAAATCTAACAAAAGGAATGTATTAGATGCTGGGAATTTGGGATAAGAACAGAAATACCCAGCAAGTCAGGCAGCATCTTGGAGACAAAAACAGCATTAACTTCTCGGGCCCATCGCCTTTCTGATGGGTCTTCAAAGTCTAATGAAAATTCTTGGACTTGAAGTGTTACACCGTTTCTCTCTCCAGAGAAGCTGCCCGACCTGATGAGCTTTTCTGGCACTTTCTGCTTTTATTGCAGGTCATTGGGGTCAAGGGTCACACAGTTCAGGTTTCGGCTAAGTGCCCAGACAATGGTAACCAGTTTGGTGCCTATGGAATATGTAGCTATTGACACCACAGGCAATTAGTGAGTGTGGAACCTGTTAAGTGCATAGTTAGCCTAATCATTTGACATATTCCACCACTGAGCGTGCAATGAGAACATGTAGAATTGTGTGCCGAGAACAATATTGTCTATAATTGAACTGCAATGACCATCCATTAATCCACACCCTCAAAAGCCCTTTGTATGTGCTGAAAAACCACCTCATCTATAGACATTATATTGTCAACTTGTTCCGAGATTATGAAACATTGACGGATGAGATGGTTCTTCAGCACGTGTACCCCCAAGAGATCAGAGAGCATGGAGAAACAAACAGTCAGTGCAGTTTAATTACAGACCGTACCATTTCTCACTACACTCTTCAGAGACATTATTACACACCTCTGCTGGGTCTTGAACCCGGGCCTCCCGGCCCAGAGGAAGGGACACTACCAATGCACCAGAAGACCCCTCAATAGCCTCATCAATGGAAACACTAAAATGCACATCATAGTAACCAGGTTCCATTTCCATGCCATAAACATCAGTATCTCCAAGTTCTTCGTGCACGTTTAATTTCAGTTCCAATAACCTCTGGTGAGATCCCATTTATACATTTGGTTCTGGCAATCACACCTCAGTAAGAATATACTGTCCCTGGAGGTTTTCCAGTGCACATTCCCCAGACTGACAGCGGTTACACTAAATAAGGACTGTTTGGAGAACCCTAGCCGTCTTTAACAGCCACCCGAAGTAGCAGACAGAGCCAATTTCTGATTTTTAAAAAATTCATTTATGGGATGTGGGCAGCACTGGCCAGGCCAGTATTTACTGCCCATCTCTCACGGCCCGCCCCCAAGAGTCAATCACATTTCTGTGGTCTGGAGTTACACGTAGGCCAGAACAGCTAGTTACGCTGGTATCCTTCCCCAAAGGATATAGAAACATAGAAAATAGCAGCAAGAATTAGGCCATTAGTGAACCAGATGGATTTTTCCCGAGAACCGACAATTCTTAATTCCTTATTTTTTACTGGATTATAACGGCACCACAGCGGGATTGGAACCCAGGTGCAAGAACAGTGCCTGGGTCTCTAGATTAAGGAGTTTAGTGATAATAGCACTAGGCTATCACCTCTATTTCCAACAGCGACTTGACCCACGCAACACCCCCTCACTGGAACCACATTAAACAATGAGCTGCCAACATTACATCAAAAGCACTGAGTAGTCAGCGAGCTACCTGTGGTTGGTTCCGAACGGGACTCGGTAGAGATAGACTAGTCTGGCTCGTTAGGCTTCTTTCCAACGAATGGTTGGAAAAATCCACCTTTTCAAATGTCCTTTTCTGACGGACAACTTCCTGCCGCGTGGATAACTCGCTGTCAACCGAGGCTCGCATATCCGCGCCCAACTTGTGCAACGACCTGTTGCTGGCCACAATGTCTTCCTTCGAGCCCCGGTTAGCGTACTGCCTGAAGTGACGGCCCTCAGACTGCAGCCGGATCTTGTGAATGTCGGCCAAGATACAGCTTTCGGCCACGTCCGCGTTCAGGCTCGCCTGGCTGCCCCTGATGGCAGCCGTCCGACTGACCACCACCCGCATCTCCGCCATCAGCTTCTCGTTCAAAACGTTCAGCTCGCTGCTGCTGCCCAAAGAGCCCGGTCTGGCCTGGCCCGCCATCGTCTTCCTCCCTTTCCTCCTCCGGAGGCTGGGCGATGGGCCTGTGGAATAGCCTGAGTCTTGGTGGCTGACGACGGAGGTGGGGTACTCTTGTGATTGTACGCTGCTTTGGCGACTGTGCAACTCGCTGCCCTTCAAGGAGTTCGCCTCCAGGACCTTCCATGGCTGCCTCTGGTCATCCTTGGGCAGTGAGGGACCCGCAGCAGGAAGCCTGCCTGCGTTGTTGCCGTCGGAAGAAGCTGGCTGCTTGGAGGATGGGTCGATGTTCACCATCTGCTTGATGTACTCCCTCCCCACTGGGCTGTACTCCGTATTGGATGGCTTCCTGGCGTGCTTGGTTATCAGCTGTTGCTGGTAGCCGGGGCCCTGAAGCAGCTTGGTCATCTGAGGCTCTTTCTCCGAGGCCTGGCCTGCTCCGGCCCTCGATGTGCTGCCCGGGTCCACTTCCATGGGTGGCTCGTCATAGATTGGTGACTCGACGGGCGGCTCATCGTAAATGGGGGCCGAGGAGCCACACTTTGGGGACAAAGGCTGCGCTGGGCCCGGCTGAACCTTTTGGGAAGCCTGGCATGGAGGGCCGCTGGTTAAGACGAGGCAGAAGCCCCCATTCTCCGTCTTTTTCAAATGCAGCGAGGGTTTGGACTCCAGAGGAGTTTTACTGCCCAGCGGGAAACAGCCTGGCTTGTGGGCCTGACCTGAGGCCTTGGTCGACTGGTTGGCTTTCTGGTTGGTGACCGGAAGGGAGTTCTGCTGCTGAGCCGCCAAGGCTTGGGTAGAGACCGAGCTCGTTCCACTATCGACCTTCACCAGCATTGCCGCCTTGGTACCTGGGGCGGGTTGCCATGGGGAGTTGGACCTGAGGAAGAAGACAAAGATCCCTGTTAGCATTACATAACCCACATCATCACTTGGAGGTTTTTAAAAAAAACACCAGGAATGGAGCTTTAAAATGAAAATACACACAATTACTATCTTATCTGCAATTGGCCGTGCGTATGACTGCTTCTCAGGATCCAAATCAAAAACAACAAGCTGGCAACACTGCACAGGAAGTGAATACCAGATTATGTGGCTTCTATTGACTCATTTGAAGCAATACTCTGCGTTAAAATGCAAAAGATATAAATAGAAACTTTGGAATCAGTAAGTGGACAATAACTCTGCCCACCAGCAGCACTATTTTCCTGAAAAAACGGGATTGTTCTGATGCATCGCTTGCAGGCATGAATTAACTGCCCCATATCATTAACACATTGCCTCTTCACTTGCCTAACCCTCTCTCCTTAAGGATGCAACATCTGTAACACACAAGAAATAGAAGCTTCTCTAAACCTCATAACTGCACTTTTAGCTCGATGCCAGCCACATCTCGAGCATGGTGCATCAATCATCTGGCCCTGCTGGCTGTTATGTGTGGGAGAAAGAGGAATTTAGTTAACATGCACTGCAGTAGGCCAGGGTCATGTCCACACTTGATCAACTCGTCTGAAGCAAGAGGGCTGAAACCATGTGACAAGGCAGGGAGGGAAAGGTCACTTTGCTTTAGGCTACAGGAGACTAGGGGGGAATACAGCAAACAATTTAACTCTGCAGTTTGTTCAAACAAATGATAAATCCATTACAACTGGCTGTTAGGCTCAGATTCCACAGGTTCCAGGGTATACTCCAGTCATTCTGGGAGTGTGCAGCAATCACTGGCAGCTAGTCCTCGCTCATACAGATTGCAGGGAGAAGATCAGTGCCGCAACAACTTGCATTTATATCCAGTGCACTGAACTGTTGTCAAGTATTTCAAAGGCAAATGGTGACACACGACAAGATAAAGTCATACAGATACACAGCATGGAAACAGACCCTTCAGTTCAACTCGTCCATGCCGACCAGATATCCTAAATTAATCTGGTCCCATTTGCCAGCATTTGGCCCATATCTCTCTAAATGTTTCCTATTCCTCTACCCATCCAGATGCCTTTTAAATGCTGTAATTGTACCAGCCTCCACCACCTCCTCTGGCAGCTCATTCCATATACACACCACCCTCTGGGTGAAAAATTTGCCTCCTGGGTCCCTTTTAAATCTTTCCCCTCTCACCTCAAACCCATGCCCTCTAGTTTTGGACTCCCCCACCCTAAGGAAAAGACCTTCGCTAGTCACCCTATCCATGCCCCTTGTGATTTTATGAACCTCTATAAGGTCATCCCTCAGCCTCCGACGTTCCAAGGAAAATAGCCCCAGCCTATTCAGCCTCTCCTTATAGCTCAAACCCTGCAATCCCGGCAATATCCTTGTAAACCTTTTCTGAGGCCTTTCAAATTAACAAAACAGATGTCCAAAAGCACAGGTGAAGAGGTCAGATTTCTGGTGTATCTCAGGGGAAATCAGAGTTTCAAGTATAGTCCCCCGTGGTGGAGTGATCAAAAAATAGGGGGCATATTTTTAAGGTGAGGAGGACAAAGTTTCAATAGGGAACTGAGGGGCAACTTATTCACACAGAGGGTGGTTCATGTGTGGAATGAACTGCCAGAAGAAGTGGTAGATGCAGGTACAGTTACAGACATTTGGACAGGTACATGAACAGGTCTGTGAGTCTCACGTTGGTGGTAGGGAAATTATTGGAAAAGATTGTCGGGGACAAGATCTATAAGCATTTAGAAGCAAATAGACCTATTCACAATAGACAACATGGTTTTGTGCAGGGGACATTGTGCCTCACTAACGTGATTGAATTTTTGAGGAGGTGACAAAAATGATTGATCAGGGAGATGCGGTTGATATTGTCTGCATGGACTTCAGCAAAGCCTTTTGACAAGGTCCCTCATGGCAGACCGGTACAAAAGGTGAAGTCACATGGTATCAGGGGTGAGCTGGTAAGATCGACACAGAACTGGCTTGGTCATTGGACACAGAGAGTAGTGGTGGAGGGATGCTTTTTCAGAATGGCGGGTTGTGACAAGTGGTGTTCCAAGGCACATCAAGTATAAGGATAGAGAAATTATGCTGCAGCTTCATAGAACTTTAGTAAGGCCACACTTGGAATATTGTGTGTAGTTCTGGTCATGTAGTGGGTGCTGCATGTATGAAATGAGCTGCCAGAGGAAGTGGATGCTTTGGAGAGGGTAAAGAAAAGGTTTAACAGGATGTTGCCTGGTATGGGGGATTTTAGCTATGAAGAAAATTTGGATAGACTGGGTTTGTTTTCATTGGAATGCAGGAGGTTGAGGGGCGACCTGATAGACGTTTAAAAGATTGTGAATGGCATGGATAGAGTGGAAAGTAGGAGACTTTTCCCCAGGGTGGAGGGGTCAATTACTAGGGGACACAGGTTCAAGGTGCGGGGTGGGAATCTTTAAAAGAGATGCGCAAGGCAAGTTTTTTTTTACACAAAGGGTGGTGAGTGCCTGGAACGCGTTGCCAAAGGAAGGTGGTGGAAGCAAACACTATAGCAGCATCCAAGAAGCACCTGGACGAATACATGAATAGGAAGGAAATAGGGGGATACGGATCATTTAAGTGAAGGAAGTTTTCACATCGAAGGGCAAAATGTGTTGGCATAGGCTTGGAGGGCCGAAGGGCCTGTTCCTGTGCTGTATTGTTCTTTGTTTAGAGAGATATGGGCCAAACACAGGCAAATAGGACAAGTTTAGTTTGGGAAACTTGGTCGGCATGGACGAATTGGACTGAAGAGTCTATAATCTGGAGATGGGCAAGAGAGCAGGGTGGAAGGAATGAGGATGTATGATTGGGCACACATTAAGACAGGGCAGAATAAAGATGAAGTAAGTCAGGGATCACTTTTTAAGCTTCAGTCACCATCTTAACTGAGTGGTTCATTGTCATTCTTGAGACTGGAAAAGCAAACCACCTCAAAGTGTCCTTAACTCTATTTGAGCATTCTTACTTCACTGCCATTTGTCCAGAATTCTTTAGAGACTCCAGACCATTCGCATCTTTGAGACAATACATGTACACCATGGCCTTTAGTTGTCTCACCTGTACTTAGGCGCACCTTTGCACTCACACAAATAATTTGGTGACCCTCTGAGTTATTCTCCCTTTCCCTCACTAACAGAGTTGGTTATAGTTTAGAAATAAGGAGTTGCCCATTTAAGACAGAGAGGGGAAAACATTTTTTCTCTCAGAAGGTTGTTGCTGGCTCAATGGTTAGCACTGCTGCCTCATAGCGCCAGGGACCCAGGTTTGATTCCACCCTCGGGCGACTGTCTGTGTGGAGTTTGCACATTCTCCCAGTGTCTGCACGGGTTCCCTCCGGGTGCTCCAGTTTCCTCCCACAGTCCAAAGATGTGCAGGTTAGGTGGACTGGCCATGCTAAATTGCCCGTAGTGGGAAATGCAGGAATAGGGTAGGGGATGGGTCAGGGTGGGATGGTCGTCAGAGGGTCAGTATGGATTCGATGGGCTGAATGGCCTGCTTCCATACCGTAAGGATTCTATTCTATAAGAAACAGGAGCAGGAGTAGGCCATCTGATCCCTTGAGCCTGCTCCGCCATTCAATAAGATCATGGCTGATCTTTTCATGGACTCAGCTCCATCTACCCACCCACTCACCATAATCCTTAATTCTTTTAAGGTTCAAAAATCTATTTTTGCCTAAAAATAGTCAATGAGGTAGCCTCAACTGCTTCACTTGGGCAGGGAATTCCACAGATTCACAACCCGTTGGGTGAAGAAGTTCCTTCTCAACTCAGTCCTAAATCTGCTCCCTCTTTTATTCTGAGGCCATGTCTCCTAGTTCTTGTCTCACCCACCCAGTGGAAACAACCTCCCTGCCTCTATCTTATCTATTCCCTTCACAATTAGTCTTTGGAATTTCTCTCCTCAAAAGGCAGTGGATGCAGAATCTTTAAAATATTACTTAAGGCCGAGGTAAATAGATTCTAGACTACTAAAGGGGATGAAAGACTCAGGAAAGATGTACTGGCCCTGGAGCAGAGGAGGTTCACGAGAATGGTCCCAGGTATGGAAAGCTCAACATATGAAGAACGTTTGATGAGTCTGGGACTATACTTTCAGAATACTGAATGGCCTGGACAAAATGGATGTTGGGAAGATGTTTCCATTGGTAGGAGAGTCTAGGACTCGAGGGCACAGCCTTAGAGTAAAGGGAAGACCTTTTAGAACGGAGATAAGGAGACACTTCTTCAGCCAGAGTGTGGTGAATCTATGGAATTCACTGCCACCGAAGGCTGTGGAGGCCAGGTCATTGAGTACATTTAAGACTGAGATAGATAGGTTCTTGATTAACAAGGCGATCAAGGGTTACAGGGAGAAAGCAGGAGAATGGGGTTGAGGAACTTATCAGCCATGATTGAATGGCAGAGCGGACTCGATGGGCCAAATGGCCTAATTTCTGCTCCTATGTCTTATGGTTTTCTGGATATGCAGGAATGTAGAGTTAAGTTTAAAATCAGATCAACTATGATCTTATTGAATAGCAGAGCAGGTTTGAAGGCCGGGGTGGCCTGGTCTTGTTCCTTGTACTTATGCCTGTAGGGTAAATGCTGCTCCCATCACATCTTTTATGAACCCCACAAACTTATCCAATCACACAACTGACCATCAGTCAGATCTGTACCTGATGTCATGAAGAATTCTAAGCCTGCACTTTGCAAAAGCAGTACAGACTGGATTAGTGCCAGTTAAGAACAGAGGGGCCCGTCTCCCTCTGTAACATTTCATTGCACCGAGTTTGGAGCCATCAGAACATTCCCTCCTCCTCGGTCTAGCTCTCACTTCAAGATGATGCCCTATTGATTTTCATTCTCCCACCAGAGGAAATAGTTTCTTAATCACCTCATTGTTACAAACACCTTTATCCAATCACCCTTCAAGCAGTGA